CTCCTCTTTCTTTGCACTATAGGTTGTTTGCAAGGACACATGTCCCAGACATTATTATGACATCTGGTAAGGTGGTGATGAAAATGAGGAAACAAATAACAGTGTTGACATCTGTCGTGCCCTATTTTCTTATTATTTCTTTTGTATCTGCTGCAGAGGTTGTTTTTGCTCCTGGTGAATATATGGTTGTTTTGTCAAAATTATGGCTAAAAAGGGGGAGTATCTTGGTAGATTTTATTATATGCCTTATTTTCCCTTAAGGAGAAGTACTACTTGATGGGGAGTAGTATTTGTTTCTAATGTTTTAGGGGGAACGTGATGTTTTGATGCTGACATGACTGTTAGATGTTTGAGGTAATAGTTAATGTCTTGACATCCTGACTGGAGATGATTATGTGCTTAATATCATACCTGATGTCTTGACATCCTATCTGGGAGAATTTATTTTTCTATGCAGAAAGTTTGTGTTGTGAGAAGTTATTTCTCTCTGATATGACATTCTCTATGAGGCTGATGTTATCTTATTCTGCTGCATATGCCTCTGATGTGTCTTGGTGCGGTTCCAATTGTTATTGTGCTTATTTTTGAGGTATTGCTGAAGTTTTACCTTCTTTCAAGAGGAGTCTCAAATTAAAATGATAAAGAGTTGGGTAGTATATCCCTCTTTTTCTTGGTTAGTTGTGCAAGTTTATTGGTATATGCAAGATGAGTTATGCAAAGTTTGTTTTAGCCAAAATTTTCCAAAAAGGGAGATTGTTAGGTTGTTTGTATTGTGATTGACAACATTTTGTTAAAACAAGTGAAATAGCAAGATGTTAGACAAGATTTCTTGACATGTTTGTACGATATCGTGGTGTGTTGTATTGGAAGATTTATTTTTAAGCATGAGATCTCTGAATATTCTTTGAAGATTTATTTCATGTATATTGTGGTCCAAGAAGCGTGTGTTTCTAGAAGCATCAAAGGCCGGTTTTAGCTTTGTCTTGTTTCCTAAGAAAGGATGTCAAATCATTTAACAAAATATTTGATTTGATTTGATTCTGCAGAAGATTGTGCAACAGCCTAATTTGGATCTACATTTAAGGAAATATTATATCCTCTTCCAAAATATTTATTGCTATTTATTTTTGCCCGGTTTGCTCATCAAGCTCATGGTATTCGAAGGTTGTTTAGAATAAGACTCTAAACCTAAAGAAAGATAGAGCAGTTGTATTATGTGAGATTTTTGTTCTAGGGTTTTGTTTGTTCATTGTTGTTTGTGAGTCACTCTTGTATCACCTTGATACTAGGGTTGGACTGTTTTAGTTGAGTTGTATTTGTGAATCACTCATGAGCTTTTAAGCAAGAGTGGATTATGTTTATTGGAGTGTGTCTCCTTCTTTGATTGTTATCTTATTATCATCAATTGTTTGTTCTGAGAGAAAGTGAGAGGATTCTCATATCTAATAGAGTCTTGGATAGAAATAGTAGGGTAGTGATTAGGTGCGAAGTTTGTAAAACAAGAGGTTGTTTAGAACTTCAAACTAATACTATTATAGTGGTTAACAATTAATATGTGTTATTTCCTTCCTGCAATTTTACTTAAAACATTCGTTGTTATTTTTTATGTAACGACGTCTTGACATTGCATTTGACATTCTGGTTTCCTGACATCGTATACGACATATGTTCTCTACGTGCCAGAATTTCAAATTGGGTTAAATATGCGTCACTCCTCTGTAATATTAGCGAGTTTCATAATACCCCTGTAAAAAAAATATTCCCCTTTATAATATCAAGATTCCCTGTGTATGGCCCTTGGGTTGGTTATTTCAACCCAGAATCTTATTTTAATCCTATGTGGCATAATTTGTTTGGTCTAGGTGACATTTTTCATTTTTTTATCCTTTGTCATGTCAATTTCAATGTCATATACCATTCCAATCTCCATCTTCATCATGCATCATCTTCTGCATCGCTCCTCATTCTAATCTTCTTCATTCTTCATCTTCCTCGTCGTTCCGGTTGCAGGCTTCATCGTTCTTCACCAATCTTTGTCATTCCAGCATTGTTTGTTCATCTTCTCTGTCTCGTTACAGGCTTCAGGTGAATAGAAATTAGAGATTGAAAATGGGTGGAAGAAAAACCTCATCAATTGGAGACTCAATTGGATTGAGTTTACCCAGATGTAGATTTAATAAACCAATGAAGATATGAATCTCAAACACCATTGAAAATCCCAATAGGAATTTCTGAAAATGTCGAAATTCAAGGGTAAGTAACTATTAATTTTTTCTCGATTTTTCTCTTAAGTTTAAATCGTTCTTATTCTATATCTAATTATATAGTGTGGTAAGTTGTGAATTATTCATATGGGACGATGAAGTTGGTCAAGTTCAAAGAATTCAAAAGATTCCCACAAATTGTAATAATTGTGAAATGAAAATGGCTTATTTGAGGGAATTTGGGAAGGACATTGGCAAGGAAGTAAGGAAGGAATTTGTACTCTGTGTCAAAGAAGTATTTCGCGTCTCATCATCTTTACCAACTATAGGCTACAACGTCATTCTAGTGTTTCATTTGAAGTGATCTTCATACATCAGATACGTAGAGGATATTTCATCTTCATCTCCAGCAGATCTGTTTGCATCTATATAAAGAGGTCTTTGAAGATTGAAGAAAAAAACTTATGCGCATTGTACATTCATCAACACTCACACTCAGGAAACATATATAGAGAAATAAGAAGTGTTTCTTACACTTATACACTTAAAAAAAATCTCATTGAATATTCTTGTTAAGTGTAATACTTAATTGTAAACTTGTGTATGCGCATTGTACATTCATCAACACTCACACTCAGGAAACATATATAGAGAAATAAGAAGTGTTTCTTACACTTATACACTTTTAAAAAATCTCATCGAATATTCTTGTTAAGTGTAATACTTAATTGTAAACTTGTGTACATGTTTATCTAAAGCAACTTGTCAACACAAAACTAGTTGTTACAACTTTGATTGTAATTCCCAAGCGACCGGGTTAGGTCAATCTCTTGAGAAGTCAATAATAGGTTATTATTGAGGTTGAAATCTTCTTAAGTGACCGTCAGTGACCGTCAAATTTCTTAAGTGACCGGCGAGACCAAGCTCTTAAGAAATTTAGTGACAGCTTGTCACAGTATTTGTAATCAATATTGATTATTGGATTAAGTTTTTATCTAAGGCAAATCACTCAGGTGTGTGGACTAGAGATAGCCTTGCTAACGGTGAACCAGGATAAAAATTCTTTATTGTTATGTTCATTGGTTTAAACTTTTATTTTGGATAGCGAAAAACAATCATTCTTAAAACTCAATTCAACCCCTTCTTTCTTGTATTTCTTGAACCTTCGATTGGTATCAAAGTTCCGATTTTGGTATTGATAACTTTGTGTCAAAATACTTAACCATGTCAAATAAAGATTCGGTTTTTTTTAAAACACACAATAGCATCTATCAGTGGTGAAAATTTATATACAAACAGCAATGATCACTACTCTGCTAAACCTCCAAACTTTGATAGTGAAAAATGAAAAATAAAAAATGCCACATAAGCCAAACAAATAATTAAACTAAGATTATTAGTTGAAATAGTCAACCCAATAGCCAAACACAAAAATTTTGATATTAAAAAGGGAATCAAAATAAATATTTTTACAAAAATAATCTAAAGTTCACTAACATTACAGGAGGGTAACATATTTAACCCTATTTAATTTTTTCCGTACGTGATAAATACAATAAATAAAAAAGTACCTAACAGTCAAAAATTATGTAAAAGAAAAATATTTTTCAACTAGATATTATTTTGTAGAAGAATAATGTTATTTTGGACAAAAATGTTGTTTTGAATATTCTAACTAGTAACAAAAGCTTAGAATATTCAAGCTGACAAAAATACAGTGTAAATCCCGTAAAAAAAAAAAATACAGTGTAAATGAAATATTATTGGTTGGTTTGAAAAATGTAACTAAAATGGAATGTTACTATTACATACTGAGTTTGAAAAACAATTTTCTTTTGTTTATTCAAAAAGACAACAATACTTTTTTAATTGATTTTGAAAATTTAATTTAAATATTTTTAGTTGGAGCAGTATGATGTCAAATAATATTTAGTTATATATAATTTAAAATTTTTAATAAATTTGTGATTTTAATTTAAATCTGTAAAAATTTAAGTACTTATTAAAAAGACTGAAGTGATTTTTTATTAAAAAATATAAGATTTTATTTACCATAAGTACTCCTATTCACTCCTAATCCTTTGGTCTCACTCTCATCCCTAATCCATTTTGTCTCGTAAGATTTGACCAACCGACCTGAATTCTTAGATATTGGACCAAATTGGACCACTTGAACAAATCTTTTATAAAATATCATATTTGTAGAGAATAGTTTCTTGAATTCTTATCATCATCAACGGTTTATACTAAGTTTCACAATTGAACCCCTTCACTAACTTGTAACTATGACTAATTTATGAATTCCTTTCACATCAAACTCCAAATAAAAAATATAAAAAATTAAAACCTAATCATCAAATGAAGATGATCTAGAATAATTTTATATATCCACTACATATTAGCCTTTTAGCCGTCTTAATACGTACCTCACATTATTTCTTAAAGCTCATTTATGATTCTAAATTACAACTTGTGAAAAAATGAAGAAGCACAATGCATGTGGTCCTAGTAGACAGTAAAAAACTTATGATAAAGACACACTTCAACATTCCGTGTCTATTCTTTCTTCCCTAATTCCCGTGTGCTTAACCGCTAGTCCACACCCTAAGGGCATTGTTGTGGACCAACTTGCATCATCCTTGTTTTTTTAACCTTAGAAAAAACACACAGAAGGTGTGAACACGCGCATATATACATTGTTGCTGCTACAAACAGACAGAGTGTTAGATTAAATACTAAGATTGTATCCTCCTAAGACAAAGATTGAAGCCAAGGAAACATTGAAAGCAAAGACTCATGAAGGTGTTTCCTAGGTTTAAGTTTCTGTCTAGAGCAGTGGTTCATGAAGAAAACCAAGATGAACATGTTTTGGAGAGGAACATGTATCCTATTGTAACAAAAGAAGGTTTGTGTGTATCTTCTTCACTCACAGTTTGGAAAAAATCGCTTCTAATGAATTGTAAAGGTTTCACAGTTATTGATTCGTGTGGTAATCTTGTATATCGTGTTGATAATTACTCCTTGCACCCCCAAGAGCTTGTTCTTATGGATGCTTCTGGAAACTCTCTCCTCACCATGCGTCGCCACAGGGTATAGCATCACTTCCCCTTCATTTTATTTGATATAATTCATGACATTTAAGATCTTATGTTGTTGTTATGATTTGGTTGCAGAAGCTTGGATTGGTAGACAATTGGTGTGTGTATGAAGGGGACTTGGGGAACCATCGTACAAGGAGAACAACAACATGTAGGACAAGAAAGAGTCCGGTTTGTTGTGTAACCAAGAGTGTAAATATTTTAAACGGCAATTCCAATGTTCAAGCATATGTGTACCGTGTAGCTTCTGGCTCGGATAATCGTCGCGCGGCGTTTACGGTTGAAGGTTCGTATGCACAAAGAACGTGTAAAGTGTTGGATGAGTGCAAGAAAACTGTAGCTGAAATCAAGAGAAAAGAGACCAATACTAAGGATGCGTCTTTTGGAGTTGAGATTTTTCAGTTAGTTGTTCATCCAGGGTTTGATCCTGGTTTTGCTATGGCACTTGTTTTAGTACTTGATCAAATGTTTTCGTAACATACTTCATATAGAGTAATAATAATATTACAATTCTGATTTCTATTTCTATGTTACATGAAAACTTATTATGAAATAGCACAGAGAAAGCAATGAATTCTGCTGTTTTATACACCTGTGTTTTAATGTTACAACATTTGAATCATGTTTGCCCTTGGACAAAACACTGGCAACAAATTCATTACAGTTACAACATAATATAATAAATATATATACAAAGAGCCTAAACATTTGCTAATCACACTACAGCTACAGCTACAGCTTCTAGCTGGCTGATGAGATTCAACAGTCTGATAATTATGGATCAATCTGACTTGTCTCTTCCCCTTTTCCAATCCATCAATACAAATTTTCCACCATCATAAGCCTTATCCAAATCCCTTGCAGGTGGGGGCATCATCATACAATGTTGCTGCTTTACAGTGCTTGCATTTGTATTTGTACGTTTGTTTTCTACAATCGAGTTCCTAACTAGTTTACTGGGTAATGATGATCTACCTGATTTTGAAGTTGGCCACGGACAGCCTCCTCCTTTCTTTACATTATCGGAGTGACTGCCGCTATTCTTATTATCGACTGTTGAAAGCCTTGACTTCTTTGAGTGTGTGGGCGTTATCTGCTCCACTTTTCTGGCCACCATGTTAGATCCAAGCATTGAAACTGGCGCTGAAGGCGCGTCTTCGTGTTTCTCGTTCGACTTTAAATAGCAAGTTTTCATGGCCTTGTGTGAAGGTTTCCTTTGCCATCTTAAAATTCCATCCGAGCTCTGCCTTTGTGAGCGAGTTTTGATTTCACACAGAGTTTGTGCAGCAGCTAATACTGTCTCATCTGTTGCAAACAAAAATGTTGAGCAGGAGGGATTGTTAAAAGCAATTTCAGTAACTTGTTTAGGAAAAAGAAAACACCATGTACAGAGATATTCAAACAAGTATCCACTTGCAAAGGATGTGTTTTACTCAATAAGATCTTACCGTTTTCTTTAGTATCAACTTGGCCTCCAAATTCTGCAGTTTCAGGATAGAGATTAGTCAGATGATTCCATCAAAAGGAGAAACTGACGGGTGATGGGAGAGGGACAAGGAAACTAGTGAACCTCCATTTTCATTCTCAACCTTGACAAGTGCCATCATATATATTAGTCCCTACACCCTCTGGTCACTATTATGAACAAATTTTACTTTTTTGGTTCATTCAACAATTGATGTAGCCAGAAAAAGTCAAATTTGTTTATAATAGTGCCCAGAGTTTGTACCCTATAGATTATAGAAACATGAATAGGAATTCTTGGTTTATGTTTTTGTCTGAAATTTCAATTCGCAGTCTACGTTTTTTCCTTTTAGTAATGATTCTTTTGTGCAGGGACCAATTATGATAACATGCGCTGAAGTTGGGGATGGAAAAAGGTTCACCCAAAGAAAAATAGAGATAAAGAGAGACAAATTTAGGTGGTATGACGTTTTTTTTACCTGTGTTAGCCTGAAAATCTTTAGAACATGATACAGATGACGAAGAATCCAACTGACGGAAAGGAAGACTGGCAAAGAAAGATTGAATAAGTTGGCTGTCTGAATTTCCAAATGAAGGAACAAGGCTCTGATCATAACTGAATGAATCAAGGTCTGTGAACGAACTGCGATCAATATCTGAAGAGCTAGCAATGAGACCTATCCTTGCCCATTTACCTCGGCACGTACTTCTACTTGTTGATAACTTAGCTGTGTCAGAATTAGTTCTAAAATTGCCACCAAAAGCATGTGACCATGGGAAGGATGGCAAGCTTGGTCGACGAGATACCTGCTTGCCTGAACGTAGATCATTACTATTCTTTGTACTAATCGCAAGTTTGGAGACATCAATCAGCAAAGACTCGAATTCTCGGAACGGGTGTAGTGCAATCTGTTCTAATACATCCTTAGGTTGACATAATGGAAAGTCAAGCGGACTAGCTTTACAATCTGTTTCGCTACAAGAATCCTGGATGTCAAGCGCTAGTAAGTACAAAATCACATTAACATTGCATACACTGATACACATAAATCATTAGTAGACGTAAATTATTTTAAGCATAGATGACCAAGCACATGCAGTAAGTTCCTTTTAGTGATCAAAGAAGTCAAATATGATGGTGCAGCCTTCATGAGCAGTGCACTAAATTCAAATTTTATTTTATCATCACAACACAAACTGAATGTAAGCTTGAAACCATTTCATACTGACCTTCTGTGAAGAAGATATATCTGTTGAGCAAGACTGCTCTTTATCTTCATTTACATCGTTTTCTACTGCACAAATTGAACTAAATTGAGAAGTGGACATTTTCTTGTTGGAGGAGTAATCCATCTCCATGTTTTGAGACTGAACAAGTTTCGGGGACTGAATGATAGAGCAAGCCTTTCTAACTGAACTCAAAAAACTTTCATTGTTATTTGATGCTTTCTTCCCCTTATCTTTGCTTATAATGGGACAGTCAAACGTGCCCTTAAGAAGCTCATCCAACGGGGGTTCATCCATGAGATTTGTGACATCATGAAAATCATGTTTCAGACCGTACAAACCTAGCATATAGATAGCAACAACTTTAAACTCTAAATAAAGTATCAACAAAACAAAAGACTATATTTGTTACTTGGAATGGTAGGTTAATGATGCCATGACAGTATTTAGGAAACGATTATAAAAAGGTGGTACAAAATCAGTAGTATTTAGGAAACCACTATTTTGATATGCTCAAATAAAAAGTTAGGTTATGAATTAAAACTTTGAATTGTACTTAAACAAAAATAAATAACACAGAAGTTTAACAAAAATAACTGAACAAATAGTACAAGGAAAAATTTCTTGAGAAAACAAGGCATTGCTGTAAAAAGATAGTGGTTAAAATTCATTCTTAAAAGCAATATAAAAATGTTTGATAGCTCTTAAGCAAGATAAGCAGATGATGAAAACAGACATGATATGGCTTTTTAACTGGGTAATTTAGGATTCTTTTCAATTGAAAAACACAATAGCATTTGGTCATCTCCTCTCTTTCTGCTTCACCCTCTCACTGATAAGTTGCAGCTCGTCAATGAGTTTTCATGAATATACTGATAAGTGATAAGTTGCAAACACAATATGATAGACGCAAAGAAAATAAATATGTGAATACAAAATTTATGAATAAAGGGAAACTGCAAAAGATTTACAAAAAAAAAAAAAAAGAGCAACATAGCCTTAATAATTACATTTACATACCGAAAAAGTTGTTCCCTCCGGTAGAAGAACTGAAGATTGATGTACCCATTTTCATAGAGGATGACTCAAATTTAGCCTTAGAAGAAGGCACTTTAAAGTTCTTCTTATCACCACGCTTGCTATTATTTCCCTTTTGCTTTGGTAATGGACTTTTCTCTGTACCAAAAGAAAATCATGGGAAACCAAGTTAAGAGCATGCAGACAGAAAGCCATTGATTGTTTGTTAGAGGAAAATAATACCTGGAGAAGTACACTTTAGATTATGTGATCCAAGCTTCTCAAAACTATCCTTTGACTCTTCAGTTCCATTAGGGCTTGTATAATCATCTGATTGGGACATCCGCGACCTTTTTGAACCTGAACTGTTACTCCTATTAGATTTTGATGATTTACGTTGCAACGGTACACCTTCCACTGTGGAAGTAATCAGAGCACAATTTTTGCCATTACCGCTGAGCTTATCTTTGACCAAGTCTTCGCACTTGATATGGGGAAGCTGATTGGAACTCTTACATGGTTGAGTCTTTAGAAATTCATTACAGGAAGAAAACTCAGCAGAATTTTTCATATTTGCAACATCTAGCATAAAATCATGCAATAGTTAATACAAAAGAAAAAGAGATAACGAGCATACCAAAAGCTAAGAAGACCAGCAACACGAATAAGCCAAACATCCTAAAAAGGATAATTCAGCCGGTACAACCTACATGAAACAAATAACTGTATGTGGCATTCACCCCATAGATTTATCAAAGCAGCACTGGAAGAAAAGTCAAGACAGTTAGTTACAACTGTTTCAGAAAGTAAGAGTCTCCACCACTAACCAAGAACACTTGGAAGATTTATCACAGCACCCAACATTTAACTAACAAATATACATTGCAAGCAAAGACACCAAACATGACAATGACACTTACACTTAAGCCCGATAACAATTTGACAAAATCGAATGTAACTACATGTGTCAGTCAACCAGTAACAGTAACATTTGCTGGGTGCTAAATATATATCATATAATTCATCATTAACCGACATGGTAACAACTAGATGTGCACTTATGCAAGATCAAGATCAGCCTTTACTCAAATCTAACCCATAGACACTAACAAATGGATCAAGAAAACTATCTCAGCCACAACCAGAGCACTCATGAACACGTTCATTTTCAGTTATCAAAGTACCAAAAATCATGAATACCAGTCATAAACAGCAGAATTACTCCTCATAAATTATATATAATTTTAAAAAAGACAATTATGAAGCCCAATTTATCAAAGAATCTATCTTACTTTACCCAATCTTAAAATTCACATTAATTCAACAAACATAAAAAAATCGTTTCTTTTCCATAAATTTAAAGAGTGTAGTCAATTAAACACCAGAATATCACAGCTAATGACAGAGAAACTCAAGTCCACAAAGTAATTTAAAAAATCAAGCCATAAAAAAACAAGGAAACCAACTAAAATTGAGAAAAGGAAAACGAGTAACAAACCATTTTGGAACGAATTAGAGTTGACGGGTCTGCCAAAACCCTCGGATCCCATGAACTGCTGGTTCCGTTGGAAGGGAAATTGAGTTAATTGGAAAGAAGAAAGCACAGAAGAGAAAACCTAAACCCTTTCAAGCCTTTAGTGTTGATGAAGATGAATAGAGAAAGTGAAGAGAGTTTGGTAGAGAAGAGAGACATGTTTGTTGGTGTTGCGGCTGTTGAAAGATTTTTAGGGCAAAATGAAGAGATTGAGAGATGGTATATATAGTTTTTGGGAAATCATCTACTGCCTTCTCATATTGTCCGTCCGTTTGGAATATTCCGGTGAGCGCAATCTTGCATTATTTTTTTTTATTTTTCTCTTCTTTTTTGGGTTGCTTTTTGACGTGGCGCTATCCATTTTAATTCTGCTCTACAAATAATAATTAGTGAGTAAAATAAATAGGGAATTGTTTGACACTCTTAAAAGATTAAAAAGATAAGTATTTTTAAATATATATATATTTAATACATAAGTAATTAATTATTTTTAAAAAATATTGTGTATATTTAATGTACTGAACATAAAATATTTTATTTATAATATTTAATTAGTGTCATCGAATGAGACACTGGTTTGCATGATCCAAATAAAAATATAATAGTCTTATGATAAGTGTTATATGTAACACCCTTTCAAACTCCACGAAATAATATGTCATCAATTAGAGTAAGACAACATGCATCTCAAATAAGGGTGTCACATATAAGTCAAACATCACACATACACCTGTCATGCTCGATAACACTTAAATTAAATTCATGTTTTTCATATCTTTTACATAGCATGTAGGAGCAAAATCTCTTTCATTCATAATAAACATAATAAATAGTCTCATAAATAACTCATTCATATCACCACTTAGGCATGAAAGCCAAAACTCCACATAATTCAAATAACGGTAGCAAAATAAAATAGAGTACATAAAGTATCTCTCAAAACATGAATCAAAACGTTCTTAGTGTTACATGACCAGAGCATGACTCAACCCAAAATAAATAAGGAAAATAAAGTAAGCAACTCCAACAGCTACCCTCGTGCTAGAAGCAACTCTATTCGTCAGCACTTGAGCGATGTCGTATAAAACATCATTCTAACAGAAGGGTGAGAATTCACATAACTATCGAAATCATATAATAATATATAATACATAGCATACATGCATGGCATAATTATTCTCACGCTTCAAATGCTTTATAAACATAGCATCACTCAAGCAACCATATTATTCATAAGTACATACTCACAAATCCACAATTTCACCAATTCATCAAATTCACATAATGCACGTAATCTCATGTTGCAATTATAGACACAATGTGACTCAATACAAGACTCAAATGCAATACTCATGCATGTGATACCAATCATTGTTATTATTTTCTAGTTTTTACATTAAACCAGGTCCGTCCTCTAGACCAATAACACACAAAAGCCCGTCCTCTAAGCTTCAGACTCCTTGCTAGGTTTGGTACAAGTCACTAGTTCTCACAGAACTAATAAGCATTGCCTCTTGATGACAATAATGCATGTTCAAGTTCAACAACCATGTGCAATTAAGATCATCCATCAATCTTAACATTTGTGCATATTTGTAGTACCCCAAAATTTTCCCTCCCTTTTTTTCTTTTCTTTTTTTCTAACCTTAACTGGCTTTTGCTTCGCGTTCATTTGCATCATCGTTAGGTCATAGCTGATAATCATACTTTGCATGGATCTTCTAAGAAATGGGATCAAGAGTTTCTCTGAATCAAATCATCAAGTATCAGGCTTACTTTCTTCAAGAGTTGTCAGGCATCAAGAGCCTAGGGTTTTATCACTCATTTGATTCAAACTTGCTAGCAAATTTACATTCAGGGGATTAGGGTTATCAAGGATGGTGGTTTAGCTTCAAGTCAGGGGTGGTTATTCAGTTATGATCAGATGGAAGTTCGACCTAATATTGGTCAAACCATCAAGAAATTTCTTTAGTTGCAAGTTATCTGTACCATTGGATTACTTTCACAGTAGTGTGTACCCAAATTCAAGTTGTCATGTGTGGAGGTTATCAGGTTATCAAATATTGGTTCCTGAAGAGTTTGGTTCAAAAGCCAAGATCATCATGGTAATAGGTTCAACTTTGTTCATTTGTGGATTTATTTTCCCAGAGATTTATTCAGACAGATTCGAAGTGATTTGGCTCATTCAGATGGTTGTTGCTTTTGTTGCAAGTTGTTCAGTGGTAGTTGTGCTTGTTTTATCAGATGTTGTTGGAAGAGTTTCAAGTGCAGTTTTTGGATTAAATTCAGTCAAGGTGTGTGTCAATGGAAGATATTGGTGGAAGATTATTCAAGTTCATCAAATTCAAGGTCAAATGTCCATTTGTCGACCCACATCTATTAAAAACCACATCAAAAAAAGGCCATGTTGATTGTAAATCCCATTAGGAGATTCATGAAGAACTAGTGAGTTTCATTTCAAATAAATTTCAAAGTCATTTACAATTGTTCAAGCCCGTGTTGCATTGAAGTAAATGCCCATTTAAAAGAAAAGCTACAAAAAAAGTCAAGTGAAAAAAATAATAATTGAGGCATCAATGTTGTCATGGCCCACGTACATGAACTTTCCCATTTTGCCAAACATTTTTTCTACATCCAGTGAATGAAAATTACAAAAGAAACAAAAATTTTCATGATGCACATAATACAACACGCCAAACCCTTATACACCTTGCCATCCATGAGCCACCATCATGTACAATTCAAAACAAACTTGCATTCGCATAAAACAAGACCAGCATGACCCACACGGTAACCACACCTGCCAAGCTTCAACTTTCCACTACTTTCCAAATTCATAAAACATAACAATGACTTTTCCACTAAAACAACCAACCTGCACCAAATTTGCAAAGTGACCCCACAAGACTAAAACATGGTGCCAAAGCCTTCATGACCCAACTTTTCTTTCTTCAGCCTAACGAATAAAACATTAAAAAAACTTGTACAAATCGTACCATTTCTAGCTTCCTAAACAACTCACGCATCCACGCAGCAAAACAAGCCAATACCAACAACACAATATTACGCAGCTTTCGTAAAATGCTCAGACCTTCAAAAAGCTCATAACCCACACTTTCCACCAGATACAGACAAATTGCAAAGCGGCAGCAAAAAGGGATCCGAACATAAATTCATGAAAAAAAACTTCATTCTCTCATCTAAATAGGGCTTCTTCCTATTCATTTAAGAAGCAGCTCACACTGACAAAAATTTAGGGAGAACATGAAAAAAGCTCACAACCCACACTTTCCTCGAGGTAGGCTCTCTTTTATGTCAAGTTTGAGAACATGTTATTGATAATATGAGGCATGCTCAGGGTTTAGCAGTTTTGCTCACAAGTTGTTGTTGATTGAGGAGTCTCCACTCCTAGTTGTATGTTTGGCTTGTGTGCTAATTCTAATGATACTTTGGTTTTTTTTGTTACCATTGTGTCATACTTTATGGTAAGCGAGGAGTCACTTAGTTCTTTCCTTTTGGCTAATATCACGACATCGTTCTTTCGATTGAGGACGAAGAGTCACTCAGTTGTATTTCTTAGCTGAGATCACGACATTGTTCTTTTTGTGATTAATTAGTATGGTGTTTACTTGTGCTTGTTCACATGATCCCTTAAGATTTCTAATCCTACTTAATTTCTGATTAAGGTAGGAGTAGAAAAGACATTAAGCTTTCAATCCTTTGCATGATAGCAATTAGGATAATCTCTCTTTGACCTCAACTTTAGGTTCATCATTTGTATGATAACATTAGGTAGACTCCCTTTTTATCCTAACCTTAGGACCATTTTGTATGATAACATTAGGGTTTCAGTTTCCCTTAGTTGTTTTCTTTTCCCCCTTTGAGTCTTTTCTCTTCTCATCTCAAAATAATTCTAATATACTTAATAAAGACGATAAACATTGTGCGGCATGAGCCTTAAGCATATGAGGATTGATGAGTAAGGGGTTTCTCTTTACTTGTCTATAGTGTTTCGTGTACGTCCCGTCTGGGGGTGATATGCGACGCATTCGTTCCTATATCATAGTCTTTAGTGCAACGTGAATCTCAAACCAATCAATTCACTTCATTAAAAATCATAAACAAAATTCAAACCTTTTTATCCTTCGGAATTGTCTCAAAATCATTTTCAGAAAAGAGTATGTTATTTTTCCGTTCTACCACTAACAGGCATCGACCCTAACTACTGGAATGGGAACTTAACGTCGCTCATAAAAAACACTTAGCCAACCTGTGGTTTAGTTTGCTGAACTACGGCTGCTCTGATTTCTCATACCATATGAGAATATATAGGCATAAGACAGCAAAGTCTTGGCGAGTGCCCTTTTCCCTTTTATCTGTAGTTTCTCAAACTACGTTTGCTCTGATTTCTCATACCATATGAGAATACGTAGGCACAAGACGACGAAGTCTTGGTGGGCACCCTTTTCTTTCCTTTCAACTATAGTTACCCGAACTATGTTTGCTCTTTTTTCTCATACTATATGAGAATACGTAGGCACAAGATATCAATGTCTTGTTGAGCACCCTTTTCTTTCCTTTTAATTGTAGTTACCCGAACTATGTTCGCTATGATTTCTCATACAAGATGAGAATACATAGGCACAAGACGACGAAGTCTTGGCGAGCAACCTTTCCCCTTTCACCCGTAGTTTTCCGAACTACGTTGACTCTGACTTTCCCATTGCACGAGGGAATACGTAGGCATAAGGCGGCGATGTCCTACCGAGTCTCCTTTTTCTTTGTTTCTGTTTTCCGTTTAGCAGTAGATTTTAAATAACTCACCCTTTGATTAGATAACAAGCATGGATTGCATTGAGTACAACAGATATGAGGGGTGCTCATACATTCCCCTTGTGTAACCGACTCCTGAACTCAAGATTTGGTTGTAATGACCTTGTCTTCTCCTTTCTTTTAGGTTTTCTTTGATCGTTTCCTTTCCCTCCTTTGGGATAAATAACGTTTGGTGGCGAATCT